AAACATATGTTTGTATAAAACATTTACAATTTTATTTTGCGGGCCTGAAAACACTGGCACATCCTTGTGTTTTGTTGATATTCATTTGCACATGAAATTAAAATATAGTACACAATTTAATTGCAGTTGGCCGTAAGGTTCCATCAACACTGGCGGCTTTGAGATGTAATTGATGCCCTGATTGGATCAGATCCTTCGCCCGAGAAAATTACAAAGGAATGCAGCACTTTGTATGTACACCTCCATGTTTTTAACATTTTTCTTCAGTAATAATTATTTATAATCATACTGTTATCAAATTTAACACGAGGACAAATATAATTCTTTTCATTAATTCCAAGTATAAGAACATGAATTTTTTTCTGTTTTTTTTTTTTGGGGGGGGGGGGGGTTAATTATTCATGTATATTTTTATCATTTGAAATAACGTTATAAAATAAATGACTTTCACATCACTATCTCTTTTGTTAACAGGTTTTGCATTAGAGGGCTGAGCTTTCTAGCTGTTCCTTTCTTTCCGACCGACAAGTCATTTTGTGGGACTACTATGCACGTGATTTAAAATCAATGGATCTGCCACTTTGTGAAGCTTAGTTGTTGACAGATGCGTGATATGATGAACCTGAATATGTTTATTGTGACCCCCTTTTCACTAGGAAGATAAATTTTGTTAAACAGTGATTTTTGAGATTCGGTGATTGGATCCTGGATTTATGTTTGTTTTTAAAATACAGTTTAAAATTAATTCACTCAGGATCTTAATACTGAATTACAACTTACATATCTCGCAACTTGAATAAAAACTTTTATTAGAATTTGAAATGTATTTGTTTATAAAGCAAAATTCAATATGAATTCAACGTGATTTCAACCAAATATCAACATTTGTACAACCAAAAAATTTCAGCCAAAAGTCAACCTAATTTCAACCAATGTTCAAACTTTTCTCAATGTTGATATTTGACGTTGAAACAACGTTGAAGTTTCAACGTTGCCTCAACTTTGATTTCCAACCAAAATTCAACGATAAATCAACCAAAGTTCAACCCATTTTCAAAGTCTATTCAACATTGAAGATTGGCGTTGAAACAACGTTGATGTCTCAACGTTCCCTCAACTTTCATATACAACCAAAATTCAACGTTGATTCAACGTTGAAGTGCAACGTTGATTCAACGTTGAATCAACCTTGAAATGCCTGCTGGGTTATATCTTGTGTGAATGTAAATTTAGATGTGTACTTAAATATTTTGGACATTCATACCATGTGTGAAAGATACATGTATCGGTACATGTACCTGCAACCTTTATGTTCAATTTTGTGTGTCATTATTTTCTTAGTTATGATCCTTAAAACGCCCATTTTTTTTTTTTACCGTACGATTAATTCATCACCGAAAAATACAAGAGCAAAAGGATTGCGATAAATCATATTTCCTAAATAATAATCTGTTGTTTTCCAGTCTTCACCTATTGAAACTTGACTTCCACTAAGCAAAAGTTTTATATTCTGTTAAGACACAGTTTCTGGTTTAAACAAATCACATAATTCCTTTGACATAAATAAAGAAGTCTTTGTCAGATTTGAAAGAATATATTCTCTATATTCACAATATTATTTGTCGCTATTCCACACAACTGGATCATCTGTCTGTCATTATGGATAAACAGTAATCATAACCAACAGAAACAACATCTCAATGCTAAGCTATATGCTGTAGTGCTTGGACATTGATGTATTAGATAAAGCTTTCCTTTTGAGCATGAAACCGCATTTCCTATTATCAAACAGCCAAATAGTCCATACTTTTCATTCCATATGTGACTTTTGTTCTAGTTTTCAAGAGAATTTTTCTTCTGCATAATTCAAAATTTATGCATAATAGAAAAGCGTTTGCAACACAATGCTGAAGATTACTATTCCAAAACTGGATCACTTTGTTACCAATGTGGTTAACAGTGTTTTTGTACAAGACAAACAAATCCCAATCACCTACAAACACAATAATTCATCGCTGAATGATATAAGAGCAAAAGGTTTGCGATAAATCATATTTCCTTAAACAATGATCTTTCTTTAAAACCAAAATTCTTACATTCTTTTTAAAAATCGCTGTAGTTTACAGATTAGCTTCAATTCTTTAAAGGACATCATATTTTACTTGTAGTCATATATTTTGCCTCTATAAATGCTATTTAAAAAAATGATCAATTCTTTTGAATCTTTTTTAATGATTCTTTTTTTCAAAGCGTCTATTCAAAACTGGATTGCCTTTTTGCAAATTTTTATAAAATTAATTACAAAATATGGAAGCTACGTCAGCAAATGATCTGAGAAACATGTAAGTAGGCATTTGTGTTAGGTATATTAGCAATGGTTATACGCAAAATCAACTTTCGTCTTATGATACCCGAGGTTGATTTTCAAACAGTTTATTATATCTTTTAATTGCTCCAACTTACAAAAGAGTTATGAAGCTGATAGAAGCATTCTATTTTTCAAAATGCCTCTGTTATCATTTAAGGTGCTCAAAAGGAAATGAATTTCAGGAAATATTTTCTCAATTAGTACACTGCTTGAGGTCACTATTCCAAAATTGGATTACCTTGATGTGACGGTGATTAACAACATTCTATGATATCTAAAAAAAAAAATAATGAAATTCTTCATAAAGGGGTGATTATGAAAATGATACTGAAATGCATGAATTTCCTCTTCTTGACATAGTCATATATTCTCAAACGAATCCGTCTGTTGTTTACCAGTCTTCACCTATTGAATCTTTACTTCAACTAAGCACACGTTTTATATTCTGTTAAGACACAGTTTCTGGTTTAACATATCACATAATTCCTTTGACGTAACTAAAGAAGTCTTTGACAGATTTGAAAGAATATATTCTTTATATTCACAATATTATTTTTCGCTATTCCACACAACTGGATCATCTGTCTGTCATTATGGATAAACAGTAATAATAAGCAACAGAAACAACATCTCAATGCTAAGCTATATGCTGTAGTGCTTGGACATTGATGTATTAGATAAAGCTTTCCTTTTGAGCATGAAACCGCATTTCCTATTATCAAACAGCCAAATAGTCCATACTTTTCTTTCCATATGTGACTTTTGCTCCAGTTTTCAAGGGAATTTTTCTTCTGCATAATTCAAAAGTTATGCATAATAGAAAAGCATTGGCAACACAATGCTGAAGATTACTATTCCAAAACTGGATCACTTTGTTACCAATGCGGTTAACAGTGTTTTTGTACAAGACAAACAAAACCCAATCACCTACAAACACAATAATTCATCGCTGAATGATATAAGAGCAAAAGGTTTGCGATAAATCATATTTCCTTAAATAATAATCTGTGGTTTTCCAGTCTTCACCTATTGAAACTTAACTTCAACTAAGCAAAAGTTTTATATTCTGTTAAGACACAGTTTCTGGTTTTAACATATCACAAAAGTTATTTGACGTAACTAAAGAAGTCTTTGTCAGATTGGGAATTTTATGGCATGTCAAATTGCTGTAAATTTGACCCTAAATAATGAAAGTTTCATTATAATTTGTTCAAATTAAGTTTATTTAAGCCAAAAACAAATCAAATACTACGAGGGGTTATCAAAAAGTTCATGGACTGATGCGATAAAATTAATACTATGTAGTCTGTGCTTTCAAAATTTATGAAAAACTTAAATCAACAAAAGTTCAAGAAATGTTGAAAATTTTAACTTGATACGTTGATAATTTGCCAAATTATTCTAAAATAAAAAAGACATTATATGATCACCCGGCGCAGTCGCCGTTTAGTTTCATGACGTCCGACAACGTCATTGTTTCTAAATGTCCACTCCGTCTACCTTATACACTTATCTTGATGTGATTACCTGGAATTGAGTAAAGACTTAAGTCCATCTTGTTTATGTGACTTTACAATGTCATGAACAGCTGCTTTCAATGCATATAATATTATAAATGTATCTATACATAAGGAAAGATCCTCACTTGATTATACCAGAATACTTAGCTTGATGGAGTTCAATTTCTACCACACATGATCAACGTCACTTTTCGACGTGACTGATTTTTGACACCCTCACTACAAATTGACTTTAACTGTGCATCTTTCATCTCTCTGAAACTTTTTGGCTGGTTAAAACGAGCACTCTGGATGTGTTTTATTTTTCTGTAGCCCGTTTAAACATTCCCTAGGTCTATACCAGTTTTTCCAGGTGCGAAACTTTAAAGAATGTTGGAAACAGAAACCCCTCCCCCTTTTTGACGTCATTTTTAAGCCCTTAATTGTTTGTACACTCCATATAAATTTACGATAAAATTTCATAGAATTTACAGAATGGGGTAAAAATTGCAAATTTTACGGAAGAATTGTGTTGTACCACATGCCTGGATTAACCGGATTTTTTGACAATAAATGCTCATATCAAAAGAGTTTTTCTCAGTTACACTCAGGTAGAAAAATTGTCATATTTGAGGTTGCGCCGCTTGGACATACCATTGCTTACAAAAACAATAACAATTTATTAAAAAATAAAACTTATGATTTATGGTTTATTCTATCGATAGAAAAGATGATGCTAACTAAATGTATTAAAATTCATTGATGTACCTAAAGCGGTTTTAATTTTATGGCGCTAGTCCACGAACTTTTTGATAACCCCTCGTATGTATATATATCACAAGGTCTAAGAAATTGATTACATTATTTGTTTCTTTGTATTTCCTTTGTGCAATGGTGCGTTCACGCAAGGAAAGGGAGAGAGTAAGGGAGATCTGGCTCCGGGGCCATAAAACTTAGCCAGCTCACTTTTGAGATCAGAATTTGAGACGGTCTCAGATTTTGGTCTCAGTCTCAAGTTAGGTGTGCCATAAAAAATTCCTGTCTCAGTCTCACTTTCTTAGTTTGGTCTCACTTTTGAGCTCAAAATTTAAGACAAGTATAAATGTGTCTAACTTCGAAGATTTTTGCTCACTTTCAATATGGCGTCTTATGGGGCAAGATTGAACCTTTATAAAATCATACAGCAAAGGAGGAAGGCACCTAAACCACGAGTTTTCCGTGATCGGTCGAACCCTTTGGAGGATATGGAGGAGGAGGAGGTATTTTCTCGCTTTCGCTTTCGACCGGAGACCATTTTATTCCTTGTCGGCATGTTATACAACGACCTTAACCATCCAACAGAGAGGAACCTGGCGCTCCCCCCTTTATTACAGGTTCTTGCAGCACTGAGGTTCCTTGCCACGGGTTCTTTTTACATCCTTGTGGGAGAATCCTTGGGCATTGCCAAATCAACGACTGGACGCGCTGCTCGCTATGTTTGTCGCTTGTTGGCGAACATGGTCGGTACATACATTCGTTTCCCTGCAGACACCTCAACTTTCAAGAAAAAGTTTTTCGATATTGCAGGTTGGTTTGATACGGAACTTTTCTACTTTCATTTTGTCAGTCAATAATACGGTTACGGGGTAATTCGTTCCTATGTACATGTTTCTACAGTATAATATCGACTATTTAGAATGAAGTCCATAAATGTATAATGTATTCCAAAATAAAAATATATATTTTCATACAATATATATCGGTCATTGTTAAACTTTGCTTTGTTCTATGTATAAGTGATACTATATGGCAGTTTTCTAAACATCTAAGGTAACACGTAAATATTCACGATTTACCTCCCCTTTGTTTACAAACAAAATGAACATGTGTCAGTGACCGTGTTGTAAAGAAAGAAACAAGAAAGAAGAAAAATGTGAAATTGGGGTATTTGTTTTATTTGAGCACAATATTTTTAAAGGATTTCCAAATGTTGTTGGCTGTGTTGACGGGACGCAGATTAAAATCAAGGCACCCAGTGAGAATGAAGGAGACTTCATTAACAGAAAAGGTTTTCATTCGCTAAATGTTCAGGTAATTTAGAAATGTGATTTAAAAAAAAAATAACAACTTGAGGAAGTGGCATCCTGTTGAGGTGCATTTTAATAATTAAATAAATATTGTTCTGATGTAACCTGTTTAAATATTAGATTTTAATTTTTTTCCCCACTGAATCAAGTCATCTTAATTTTCCCCAGTCACTATATATATCTGCTACAGAGGTATGTCCTTAACATCTCTGTGGTATTAGTCACTTTCAGTATGTGCATGGAAAGAGTGTCAGTTCAAGTCTGACCATACGTGCATACAGGGATCAATCCTCCTCCACTTCACTTAATGCAAAACCTTAAAATATATTTTTTACCATCAAAATTGTGGCATATTTCTGTCATCACTAGTCAGATGTTTACGTCAACTTGTCAGATGTTTACGTCAACTTGTCAGATGTTTGTGTCAACTTGTCAGATGTTTGTGTCAACTTGTCAGATGTATATGTTGACTTGTCAGATATTTATGTCAATTTGTCAGATAAAAAACACCAAGACCAGAAACTTGGTATTTTGTTATATTACAACATTTTAAAGCCACGTACTAGCTGACATACCTATACTTGTCATCATAATATCTGACAAGTTGACATAATTTTCTGACAAGTAAATATATTTTTCTGACAAGTCGATATCATTATCTGACAAGTTTACATAATTTTCTGACAAGTTGGCTTATCAGATGTTATGTCAACTTGTCAGATAATGAAGTTGACTAGTAGAATATTATGTTGACTTGTCAGAAAATTATGTCGACTTGTCAGATAATATATTAACTTGTCAGATCTTTATGTTGACTTGTCAGATAATATATTAACTTGTCAGATCTTTATGTTGACTTGTCAGATATTTATGTGGACTTGTCAGAAAAATATGTTAAATTGTCAAGTGATGGCCTAAACTGGGCATGGACACATTTTCATATTGAATTTCTAAACATATGAACATGGTGAATAAGTGACAAGTTAACAAAAAGATCTGACAAGTCGACATAATTAACTGACAAGACAACAAAAAGATTTGACAAAATTATCTGACAAGGAGGGGGGGGGGGCAGAAATATGCCACCATACATCTGAGATATAAATAACATTAGGTTATTATTGTCTTTGTTTGCTATTGATAGATGAATTATGTTTGTAAAATTGAAAATAGTAACATGACTATTTGGAAAGTTGCTATTTGCCTGCTTTTTCATATTCTACAAATATAAATATTTATTTAATATCAATATTTGATACTCTAATTTCCTTTTTAATGGAAAACTCTTAGCAATATATGTTATCATGGTTATGTCTTACCCATTTTTTTTTTTTTTTTTTTTTTTTTTTACACAATTTAAAGATTATTAATGAACAATATTATAGGGTCATATATTTTTTATTGAACAGTCCATTCATTATAATGAATTGATCATTTAATTTCAGATGATATGCGGACCAAAGTTCCTAATTACAAATGTTGTAGCCAAATGGCCAGGATCTGTGCATGATTCTAGAATCTTTAGAGAATCTGCTATCTGCAGAGAGTTTGAGAATGGTAGGATAGTTTGTTATCATTTTGTCCATAAAGCAAATCTAGCACAATCTCTTGGTTTAGCTAAATAGCTTGATAGCAATTCAAAATTGCTTGATTTAGAAATTTTAGAATATTTTTTTCTTTAAAGTTCATTTTTTTCAGTATGTGAAAAAAGTCGCACTTTGGAGCAATGTGAAAAGTTTCAACTTTGAACTCACAGTTCTGCATGTAAAAATCATGAAAATATAATAATCCATATGAGTATTCACAAACCTTGCAACTTTTTTCTATTTTTCTATTTGTTATTTTAAACAAAGCATATTAAACTGTTAGATGTGAAAAACCATATTGGAATAGCTTCATCATGCTATTTTGAATAGCATACTTAGTAACTCAAGCTATATATATTGCTAAATGAAGAGATTGTGTTGGACCTCTTGATAACCAATTACTAAATTGTATTTTTTTTTTTTTGGAGTAGCAGAACAATTTCAAGACAAATATGACACAATGTACTCTATAATTTTAAAACTCCTTTATGTATTTGTTTAAGGACACATTCAAGGTCTTCTTTTGGGGGATTCAGGATATGCCTTAAAGACCTACCTGATGACCCCATACCTGAATCCTGCAGCAGATTTTATGCAGCGCTATAACAATGCACACTGCAGGACACGTGTTCTTATTGAACAAACTTTTGGGATCTTAAAACGTCGATTTTCCTGTCTACATACTGAACTTCGACTTACACCTGAGAGGGCATGTGTTGCAGTTGTTGCCTGTTGCGTCCTGCACAACATTGGAATTATTCGGGGCGATATTATACAGAACCCTCTGTTGGAGGAAGAAGAGGACTGGGTGGATCCTGGTGCCATGGGTGCTGATGGCAAGACAGTACGGGATCACATTGCCCACAATTATTTTTAGGTATAACCATAAATTGGCACTTCTAGTATTTGCAATTAAACAATGTACTATTTGCAGTGAATATGATTTTCCAACAGCAATATTTAACTTAAAATTTGATGATTGTAAAGGTGTGTTACTGCATCCCTTAATTTGAGTAAATTGCAAATCATGGCCAAAATGTATGATCTCCTCCCTTTTTGGAGGAGAGAGCTATATGCAGACTCTGTGGGTGCATGGAGGTGATTATTTGGATTGCGATTTTAAATTTAAATACAAAAGAGTAGCATCTGAATCAATTTGAAGGTATTTATATTTTTTCTGGAACATAAATAATACAGACATCTCTTTCTACAGAAATAGCCAACTTAATGGCAAATACATATACACTGTAATATACACTGATAAGAGCATCAAATTTTTGCTGTCATATTCACATATGTGCAATCAATGCTAAAGCATTAATAAGAAATATAAATATTCTTATGTATTTTCTCATGAATATTTTGCATAGATATGTACATATACCCACAAACAAAAAATAGCTACTATGGAGTTGAAATTGGGAATCAAATTTTGCAAAATGCATGTTTAAAACATGCATTTTGTAAAATTTGATCAATACAGGAAAAAAAATCTTTCAGAAAGCAAGGCCATGTTAGTCATAAGTCTTATAATTATTCTTAAAGCATCCTATGCTGTATGGTTTTGTAACAAACCTTTTTTAAAGGGGCACAAAAAAAATTCATTTGAATGCCATGAAGTTGGGGGATATTTATGATGATAATTTTTGTCATGTCAGTGTTGTAACTGAAGATGCTGGAATAATCTTGGGTTAAGTTCCATACCTACCCTCAAGTAAAGCAATCTTTGTGATTATACAATTTTTGCTTGAACTTTCAGTAAGGCGTGAGGTTCTCGGATATACATACTTAGCATCTCTCAAATAGTGACCTAGATTCTCATTGGTTGCCAGATTAGCTCATCGATACTGAAATTTACACAGCTTTTCATTCATTAATACACATGGGATAAAAATGGAACAAATTTCAACGAGTGACGCAAGGAACTAATGACATCGTTTCTTACAGTAAAGAGGTGTGGCTTATGTCATCTCATCATTTGTCAACAACAATCTAAAGTTGCTAATGTTATTAATTTCTTAACCAATGAGAATCTAGGTCACCATTTGAGAATGTATGGCCGAGAATGTCACACCTTACTGAAAGTTCAAGCAGAAAAGAGAATTGTACTAAGTATGAGCTTCTAATGTTCTCCATTACATGATATGGTAAGGACAGGAATTTATACATTTTTCTAAAAGTGACCTTGAACTTGATCAAATGACCTGGGTCAAAGTCATAACACACCAACAAGTCACAAGCAATCTTTTTATACCAGTTATGAGCCTCTTGTGTACCTCCATTACAAAGTTACAGACATGATCACTTGGACAGACAGACGGACATGGTGATTCCTACCCCCCCCCCCCCAAAAAAAAAATCTATTTGCAGGGGGTATAATAATATTCTATGTAAAATAATTTGTAATCTGCTTGTAAAAATCTTGAGGCTAGAATTCAGAAAACTGTGATAATGAAGGTAGGGAGAAATTGCATGATTTAAGAGTGTTCTTTTTTAATTCTATCAACTCTATTTCTGATGAAACTTTCTGCATCTTCAGCTTAATATAATCCATTTCTAATTTTATTTTCTCTTTCTCAGCCTCAAGGACTTCCAGATGGATGGTGTCTGTGTCCCTTGTCCTTTTCTTCTTTCCTGATCCAGCTGTCAAACTTGTGGAAGGGAGACAGGAGCCATTCACTGCACCCAGAGTTGAACAGACAGGTTTTGAGGGCCCTGGTTCACTCTGCAGAACTGGCTGCTCAACTGAAATAAAATCAAAATATATATTTCCTCAAATAAATTACAGTCATTCAAACATTAATGAATATTACTTGGAGTTTGTCTTATTTTAAATTTTCAGATAGGTACTAAATGCATCTTGGAACATTTTTTTTTTACCTGTTTCAGTGGCTGGAGTGTCAAATCCTCCATCTATACCCTCTAATGAGGGTCTTCCTGAAAGGAAGGACAACATTGCTTCATCCATAGGTGAAGGTGATGGGGGCTTTGGACCTCCTCCTGTTGCTGGGTATCTGCCAGCACTGTTTATTTTCTTTGCTGTTCAAAAATATCATAGATTGATCAAAATAGTTTTAAGACTGTTTTTGAAATTGAATATTAAGCATATAATAGAATATAATTAATATTAATCATTAAATGAACATATAGAAGGATTATAAACATAATTATTGAATTTTTAATTATTACATTTATATAACCATGCATTCTTAAACTTGAATGAGGTAGCAATATCTTAAAACTGTGTAAGATATCTTTTAAAATTTTAACTAATTAAATTACCTCTTTGTTTCAAATTAGACCATTGCTTCTTGGTCTGTTTCACTGTCCTTTTTTTAAAGACTCCCTTGCTATAAAGATTAAATTTCCACAATAAATTGACAATTAATTATTGTACATATTTTTGAGCTTAATCATCTTTCTGGAAATTTTGAATAAAAATGTATGTAAAATTGTTGCAGAGAATGATAAGGATTTGGCACACTTGAGTTTAAATGGAATTAACCAATACATAATTATATTTCTTTATGTACATGTGTATAAATTAAAATATAAATCACATTAAATTTCTCTGTTTTTATTTCCCTTTTTACTTGAGACAGAGACCCTTTTTACAAAAGAACTTATGACAAAGACCAAAAACTCAAGTTTATTTTAAAATTGTGCAAAATTAATGTTTCTGTTTAAAATTGCTTGCACAAAAATACCTTTTTATATTCCTTTTAAAAATATTAGAACCATTTTAGCATTAAAAATCTTAAGTTTTTTCGTAAAACTAGGTTCTGTTAGTTTCAAATAGCCTAAATGTCATTAGTACAAATATGTAAGGGTAGCGAATAAATAAGACACCGACTTGGATACATGTGACGCAATTTATAAACATAACAGCTATATATATATTTAGGGGAAAACCAAGAAATTCAAACGTACAAAGCTGAAACGTTTTGTTGTAAGACTGATACAATTGAGATTTATTCGCTATTGAATCTATAAAAGAGATATATTATGTAAAAATTTGTTTCCGAAATTTCGTGCAAAATGAGTACTTGCAAATTTAAAGTAATTATGCTTTTTTTTTTTTTTTTTGGGGGGGGGGGGGAGTTTTCTTCTTTACATTAGCATGATATTAGTCTAAAAAGTTGTTTAATATACATGAATTACTTTTAAACAAATTAAAAAAGATACTTCTAGAGGGCAGTTTCAAAAACAAAGAATGAAGATATGCAATACGTTAAAAATAGCTAAAATTAATTGTTATAGCCTGTAATTAATGTTATTCGTAAGTTCTTATATAACACGGGTTTCTGCATGGACAGTAAAAATATCTACGATAAATCATGTGTCTTCGAGAAGAAAAACGTGTTCATGCATTTTTTTTTATAAACATTTTTTTTATTAAAATTAATTATAAACTTACGCATTCACTGCAGCCGTGATCTCTTCCCAAGCCCTGTTTTTCTCCGCTTTACCGGACTGAGCCCCTTTAAACTTCCCGTCTAGGACATCGCCCCGCTTTGACGCTTCCTCAATGAGGATTTCCTTTTCCAATTTTGACCAAAAGGGTTCATTACTGCTTTCAGCGTTTTTCGTAAGTAAAAATGATATGTCCTCCTCAGCCATATTTACGTTTTGCAAGAACGGACGCTGGAGGTAACGTAAATTACGTCAGAATGGTCAAAATGACGTAACAATTAAATTCTTATGAAAAGAAAACAAAAAACAAAGAAAAGTTTGATAATACTTTTATTTTTTAAAAAGATTGCGCAATACCTAGTGGGCGTGGCATTGTCACATGTAAACAATATCCCACAATTCATTTAATATCCTGCTTGGTTTTGGTCTCAGTTTCTGTCTCAAGTGAGAAAATTTAAAATGAGCTCAGTCTCCCTTTATGGCACACTAAAAGTGAGACGATCTAAGTTAAGCCCGGAATCTGAGATTTTTAGATTGATCTCAAAAGTGAGCTGGCTAAGTTTTATGGCCCCGGAGCCTGCTCCCCTGGGGCCCGTTTCATTAAAAGTCGTAAGTTTTGGACCTAACTTTCTATATTTAACAAAAACGTGCAGCATGGGTCATACTAAACAATTAAGTTTTTCAAACACCATCTAATGTCATGTTTTCACAACTTGACTGGATGCCTCTATCAGATTACTTCATTTGTCTATAGAAAAGTCAATTTATAGTTTATAATTTATAAAGTTTAAACATGGACTTATGTGAGATATTACTTATTAGCCAGAGGCAAACAAGAAATTCTAATTTAAATCTTTTGTATGTACCCAAGGCAAAAGCTGAGTATTTTAATAGATCTTTCAGTGTATATGCATGTGGAATACTATAATGAATGAAATTTCTAGACATCCAACTAGTTTAATGTGTTTTAAGAGAAATCTGCGAGATTATTAGAGATTATTCATATTACACATGGTAACTGTTAATTAGCACAAAGGCATCCCATACCAAACCATTCTCACAATTTGCTCATGAGCAGCTCACGTGAGGACTAACCAGATTTCCTCACCTGAGTTGCTCACGTGAGTCTCATGTGCAATTTAACATGCAAATTAGGTGAAATGCTCACGTGAGCAGGGTTCTGCACATTAGCATTTTTTGCTCATGTGAGGAATCATTTTGCTCACCTAGAATATTGCTCACATGAGTCTCATGAGGCTCATGAGACTCATGTGCAACAATTGCTCACTTGGAACAAGCAACAATAGAACAAAATTCAGATTACAAACATTATATAATTATGTAATTCTAAAATGTGATTCTTCAATTACATTTTAAATACTCTTTAGCAACATGTACATGTAAATAGATGCATGCATAATTACGTTCAGTGAACTTCATCTTTTAAACTTAAAATGAAATAAAAATTTAAATTAAATTATTTTAATTATGTACAGTACACATCAATCAAGGTATTATTATCCAATAGTTCCATTTCCAGTAGATTAACATAGAACATCAAATGTAAATGTCTAGTTAACATTTTTGACTGCACTAGTACTAGATGGTTTTAAGTTGTCTTGGAGGCTAAGTAGATGTTTCTTCCTTTGCTGAATTTATGAGTGGCAGTCATACTTGGGTTTAAAATAATAATCCAGTGGTACGTCATAAGAATCATAATCAATTCATCCTGTTCCATTCTTTTTCCTTGCATTTCCTTTAAATGAGTGCCAACATCAGAACTCCGTCATGTATGCAAGCTCAGCTATAGGGTACATGATTAATCTGCAGATCCTTTGATTCCAAATTTTATCTGCAAAAAATTTGAAGTTATAATAAGTTAGTATATTTTCAATGTTCCGTTGGTCATGAAAAGCCAGTCAATAGAAAAATCATATGCATCAATATTTAATTAGCAACTTAAATACTTGTAATTCATAGAATACCACACTGAGACTGTCAATTGTACACTCTGACCTAATCTGTTCTTACCATATTTATAGTTCTTAATTAAACTGTAATTCCTGATAACATTCTGCATTAAATATATCAAACTTAAATGCACTGATAATTAACATATAAACATATATTTTTTTTTAATTAGTAATATCTGAAATGAGAGGGGGGATAATAAATTTCAAAGCACTTACCCTATTCTCAGATCAGCATATCTTTGAAATTTTCCTTCATTGTGGCTGCACCATGGTAATATCTAATTGATCTTTAATCATTTCCTCATCCCATGGACATACTGGATACATTTGTAACTTTTAAAGGTTAGCATCTAGTTCAATATGGTGATGACATGTATTTCCAAAAGCATATTTCAGTTCTTCACTGTATTAATCCATATACTTTCAATGTCCCTCACAAACATTTTGTATTGAAATTTTGAACTGGTCTTAGAAGGCGCACAAATCCTAACTGGCTCTCCTCATTGGATACTGCCCCACCTTAAGTAACAGTGGGGGACACAACAGGTTGTTTAAGTAGAGGAAAGCATTTTCAAATTGATGGGAGATGAAGATTAGAAGCTCAAGAAATGAAGAATTTATTCCTGCCTGGTCCCCAATCATTTGTGATGCTATCATCAGGAAGTGTTAACACTTAACACATGGTCAATTTGTAATAAAGGCTTGGGAAAGCTTGGACCACATAGAGTGTCAAAGTATTGTATTTCCTCACGTGAGCCTCACGTGAGGAATTGAGACTTGTAAATCTTTGGTTTTGGTTCTACTTGTAATACTGAATTTTGACTATGTCCAATTTCCTCACCTCTTGCTCACCTCTTGCTCACGTGAGAAAACTGAACTTAGAAAAATCACTACCAATGCTATATCTTAAATTAGGCTGTTCTTAGGTGAGCAAATTGAATAGACTTTTGCTCATGAGCATTGAGGTGAGCATAATTTTGCACATGTGCATTTTGGTTCGTATTTTCCTCCCTAACAGAGACTAACAATCTGCACATGAGCAAAATCCAATTCTACCTAATTTGCATACATTTCTTACTAGATTCTCATGTGAGTCTCATGAGCTGCTCATGAGCATTTGTTAGAATGTTTGGTACGGGATAGAGATTATCCATTTGTGGAATATACATATATATTTGTATAGTTATGTTGAACATTGTGAGGATTAAAAATACATGAATAAAAATTTGCTAAAAGTTTTTGTTTTTATCACTTTTATGTTTGGCAATGTTTCATAATAATAGGAGATAAGTGTTACAGTATAACACAAAAGGCAGTATAAGCCCTCTTCTAATCTAGAATAATCCTTAGATACAAAAAACAGTACTGGAGGTTACACCGGATGGCCATTAAAGAAGATGATATGATTTGAGAGAGAATGCAATGTAAATAAATATAGAAGGAAGAAGGGAGAAGAAATTGTCCCCTTAACGCAAAAAAATAATAATGAAAGTTTTTTGACAGAAAAAGAAGAAACTTTTTGGCAAGGGAGACCCCTGCGCCATGACATTTAGGTACTGGAGGATCAAGCCCCCTATGCTTATTCTGTGCCACGCACATTTAACATTTCTTGATGCAGAGTATGCATGTATGGATACAGTGGTTCATATTTTTTCTATCATCCATCAGTCAGTCAGTCCTGTTCTTGTCAGTACAACTCCTCTGAATATGCTCAACAGAATTTCATGAAACTTTGTAGTTAATAAGGAAATAATGTGCATATTCGCAGGCAATGTTGATTCCATTTTTTTCTGGGAGTTATGCCCTCTTTGAACTTAGAAAATTACACCTTTCTCAAAATTATTTGGGCTTATTACTTTGTACAACTAGATAAAAAATACAATATATCAAATATTTTATTGGCACAAACACAATTTCAGTAACTGGTAAAGGCCCATACAGAACATAGTAATAAGCATGATAGTACAGTAGAACACAACTAGAATACAAACAATTGGTGTAGCAAATAATGTAGTGTACTCATCAGATACTAAATGATTCATAACAATGTAGTTACTCATTTATAGCTAAAACATTTTTTCTAATATCAGATATTTGACATAAAAATGAAGATAATATTTTAAGAACCCTTTTACAACTGGTTTTCATCAATAACTTTAACAAATTGTCATTATTATGGATTGTTTGGTTGAAAATAGGTAAAGTAGATATTTCTGTTTTGAATATTTTTCTCTGTGCTTCATATTTCGGACAGAGCAAAATGATTTTCATCCTCAATATCAAGGTTTTGACACACTTTACACAACCTATCATTTTATTAATATATTTTTTTTATATAACTGCATGAACTCGCAATTGTAATTTTATTTAATTTTTATTTTATTTTGATACACTGATGGCATAATGGGCACGAAACATCCCGGTGCGAACCATGCATTGGCGCGAAACATCCCGTTACCCGCTGGGTAAATCTGGTTCTCTCGACGATCTTCGGATTACGATTTTCTATTGATATTCTTCATATATAACTGCTTATAGTCCATAAATGCCACCATTCGTAACATTTATGATATTTTTAAACATATGTGAATTTAGTTAAGCTTAATGAATGTACCTGAAAAGTATGAACCACATTTGTTGAACGAAGCGAAGAATATCAACAAAAAACATTAATCCGAGAGAGTCGGGTATCGACAGTATTAGTTTTACCGCCTGCCATCCCAATTTTAGGATCAGTGACCGTCGCTGAGAACATGGGAGATTCACCGAAAGCATCTGGCTCACGTTTACCATCACCATTCTCACCCCCTTCAGAACCACGAATTCGGAAAAGGAGAGGATCAAGCAAAAGCTCTGGAGCTTATGGAAGCGACGAAAGTTACAGTTCCCGACCGAAACTTGGGAGGTATGGTGGAGATCATGTTTCAAATTGGAATACTTCTCAGTTAGAATCGTTTGGAATCTTTTATGATGTAAAAGCAACAGAACTGTCTGAGTTATATAAATCAGCCCTGGAAAAGATGTATTCGTGGGCAGTCGGGAATACTGCGTTTTTGACTAAACTTCTTCAGATAAAGGAAGTTCTGATTGAATCAACGAAAAAATGCATGCATAGCTTAGATGTCGATGAAGACTTTGAAATGGAAAACTTGCGTTTACCGGGTATAATAGAAGAAACCAAAAAATGTATGCAGACAATGGCAAAAATTAAAGAGGAAATGTCACTGAAATTTGGATCTGCAGCATCATCAGATAATCTTTCCCGGTAATGTTTCATTTACCAGTCTACGAAAAATAATTTTAAAAATATTTCGAATTAAAGCACTCACAGGCCCGTAGGAAGCAATTTCAGTTTGGGGGGGGGGGGGGGCACAGCCAAACATTTTTCAGTTGACAGTTGAGGGGGCACTACCAAAAATTTTCTGACAAGCAAAAAAAAAAAAAAGGACATCAGGCGGTTTTATTGAGGGGGCACAAGCTTATAGTATCTATGTTTACTATAGTAATCTATTTATGGGCAAAATTATTGGGGGGGGCATGGCCCCCCGTGCCCCCCTCCCCCCCGGTTCCTACATCCATGACTCAGATTGTTATGCCAAGAAGTGTGTATATGCTTAGAATTATACAATGTAAAAACTTAAATCACGGCCAATATTTTATAATATAATGAATAAGGAATATCTTCTTTATTTACATTTCAAAATTCTAATTCCCTTTTTTTAAACAAATAACTTTTACCCTCTTCACAAGGAGGGGTAACTTGCCCTCTCTCTAGGGCAAGTTAAACATTTGAAGTTATAAATAAATATGAATAGGAGAAGCTAGAGGTGTGCGATATTGGCAATATAATTGGTATATTGCAATATTACACCCAACGATAATATATTGCAATATATTTTTTCAATACTGGCCAGTGTTGACGATACATGCTACCAGAAGAAAGGGTACTAGAGATGTCGGACTATAACTAACTCGGCCTATTTCGATCTTGGCCTATTGTGGGCTCGGCCTATACATACAGAATAGAATATTTTTAATGAAATTAAAGAAATGTATATTATACATTTTTAATGAAATTTTATATTTTTAAAAGATGTTTTAATGTATTGCAAACAAAAAGTTTAGCTTTGGTGATCAGATGTTTTTTCAAAATGAAATATACCGCTTGTGTTATTTTTGACTTTCAATCAAAATTTAATTGAATAACCTATTAAATTCTCAATATAATTATTATAATGTAATAGTGTACTGTTGTTTCAACAATATACTTGTTATTTCAACACTTTGCAATTAAATACCCTGTTAATTAGGCGTAATTTTAGGAAGATGTAATTGGTTGCTCTGTCAACCGTATCTGCTTTGATGCATGTTAATAATTGCTTATCAAAGGAGACTTTTTTTTTATTTTTGCGATGCTAGAAATTAAAGTGGTACCAAAGAAATTTTATTCATTTTCGAAATGGGTTCCGACGAGTGCATTGTGTGTTCGCGGAAGGTGTCTACCAGACAGCATGCCCTCCAATGTGACAGTTGCAGCTTGTGGCAACATAGAGTTTGCAATACGGGTATTTATTATTTTTATTAATAATAGAAATTGTTTTAGTGTTAGTAATTGAATTCCAAATGCTTAAAAATAAAATTTGAAATTTGTCAAACTGTATTGTACGAAAGCCGGTTGGTGCCAGGTGGAAAAAATATTTTATCTGGCAGCCGCCAGATAACTTTCTGGCGGCCGCCAAATAATTATCAGGCGGTTGACTCATAAATAACTGGTGGCTGCCATAAACTTATCTGGCGGCCGCCAAATAATTATTTGGTGGCTGCCAGATAAGTTATCTGGCGGCCGCCAGATAACTTTCTGGCGGCTGCCAGATAAAATATTTTTCTACCTGGCGCCTACCGGCTTTCGTAGTATTATTACAACATAGTATTTGACTAAGTATTTTCTAATGGCAAGTTTGTATTAAGAATTAAGAAACTGAATTAGATTGGGTAAATTGCCTCAGAGTGTGTATTAGTAAGTAAATATATATTTTATGATGACCTGTGTACATGTATAATGCAATAATAGAAATAACAGAAAACATACATGTATATGTTACACCTGCCCAGGGACGGCATATTGAACCTATATATCTGTCACTTCAGATTATGTACAATATTGTCATTTTATTTATACAATTAATTTTATCTTACTGAAAAACAGAAATGTAATAATTTGGATATTTGTCTTTGTATATTTTTTCAGTAAATTGTTTAAAAAATGCATATGTCTTTAGATAGTGTCTAAATACCTGCCAAATATCTCATTGATATCTCAGTTAACAAAAAAGTTATGCCCAAAAATGATGCTAAAATTGTCAGGAGTGCAACACCTTTTTGGTGACATTTTGAAATTTCAATATTTTTTTTTGATATCTGTGAAATAAATAATAAATGCTTTATGTTGAAAATAAAGACTTTCCTGTTAATATTCAATGTATTGAGCTTTAAATGTGGACTATAGTAACTTTTGTTTAATCAAGTTGTGATTATGGTTGATGTTTTAAAAAAATGATATACCATGTCAGGGGTGCAACAGAAAAAATATAGTGTTGCCAAAAAAAACATCAATTGTAAAGTTCTGAAAGAAAATTAAGACAAAAAAGAATTTCCGAAGTGTAAAACAATAACTGATTACATTTTAAAACTTAAAAATGTTATATAAATCACAAGCAGCATTAATGAGAGTCAAGTATATGTACATACCCAATAATATCATTATATGATTTTCTGCTTTTTATTTTGGAAAATAAAGACACAAAGAACATTTTTACCAAATAGATTGATCAATTACAGGTTCTGTCTGTGCTTCAGATCTATATTTCTATGGTCAGGAGTGCAACACATTTTATAAGGATTCAAGTTGTGTGACTAGAATGCAATTGTGCAATATGATGATATAAGTGAAAAATATGTAATAAGTAGTCGAATTTTTCCAATTACTATATTGTGGATTTTTATAAAACTGGAATACCATTGACACTTATCATCATCGATGTACATGTGTATATACACAGACATTTCTATGGATATCCATGTTTTGATAGCAATCAATAAGCAACACATCCCCTTCAGTCTTATCAAAGCAATTTACAGTTATCAGAGCAAATGTGTTTAGAAATAACTTTAATGTTAAAGACATTATCTTGTTACAGTCAGATTAAAATTTATTAAAACATATTGGTTAAACTTTATTTGAAAAATGAAAATATCACTACATCCTAAAAAGTTTTCTTACAAAAAATACAGTCTCCTGACAACTGATATTTTTTATAATGGCAAGTTTTTCATATATATATATATATATATATATATATATATATATATATATATATATATATATATATTTTCAAGTGCAATTTATTCTCATTACCTGTTTTTTTTTTTACAGAAAATCAAAGCAGAAAAAATTAAGATAATCAGTAATCTGGCCACCCCCCAGCCGTTTACCCAGCTTTGGTCAATTCATGCCTTCATCAGGAGAGGAGACAGCAACAAGCAGGTCCCATTCGTGTTTGTCCTCATGTCCAGGAGAAAGACAAGAGACTACATTGCTGTAAGTGCAAATAAATCAAAAAGTCTTTCTTCTGAAGTTCAGAATTACAGTTTTCAATATATAATATTATATAGATTTTATTTTGGCATAAATGATACGTCATCTCTAAAGACTTATTTTACCTAGTATTTGTATTTATAAAATTCCTTATTTTTTAGGTTCTCAAGAAGTTGAAAGAAACCTTAGGGGTAGAGCCAGAAGTTCAGTAAAGTAATATAAATGAATTTAAATTGTACTATAAATTAATGTAAATAAAAAGTGCTAAAAACCAGCTATTTATTAATTCAATTTATATTTGCAACCTTCATTAAAAAAGTTATATTTTTTTCAGGTGTGTGGAAAGCAATCATGGAAGTTTTCCCAGCTGCTTCCATTAAAGGCTGTGTTTTCCATTTCACACAAACTGTATGGAGGGAGACCCAGGAACTTGGCCTTAAGACAACCTACAGTCAGCGGGGAGCAGAGTACCGATACATCAGGATGCTCATGGCGCTGCCTTTCCTCCCATCTACCGACATAGAGTCAGCATTCCAGCGTCTAAGTCAGCGAGCGACATCTACAGAGCTTAAGAGACTTGTGTACATGGAGAACACCTGGCTGAACAATCTAGTGTGGCGTCCAAGGAACTGGTCCATCTACAGGCACCAACAATGATGTGGAAGGTAAATATATATACTTATATTGAGATATTGTGCAAAATAATTTTTTCTACAAAATTGTTATCTCTTAATTGATTATGTTCATGTCATGTTCAACAAATAAACTAATAATTAAACTTTAGCTTTAGGCTACCACACAAGGATCAACGCTGACATGGGGCGAGGCCACAAATCCTTCTACACAGTCGTTCCTGCTCTACAGAGAGAGGCAGACACTAACCCACCAACTGGTGAATGAAGAACAAATCGTCCGGGACCAACGACAGAAACAAAGAAGGAAGGAATGCCGGCCCCACCAGACATGGGAGGAATATGAAGATGGGCAGCGCACTGTTTCCAAGCTCCTCAGCGAGTGCAGCAAGATATATGGACCCTCCAATGACTGATGAAGTTCTGTGTTACTGTGTATTGTGATAAGTGTTCTTCAGTGAACTTCTGTGTTATATGTGTGCTTTCTGTGTTATATGTGTGCTCTCCTCAGTGAACATTTCATCAACATAAGGACTGGACATTTGTGACAGTGATGTGCATCATAATTATAAATATGTTGTTTGAAAAATGTTTCATTATTTATTATTGAAAATGTAATTTTAAAAATGTTGCAGATAACATTGAACATATATTTGTAGAAAATAAATAAACTTAATCTGTTAATGAACAAATACAATTTTTTTTTAGTTCTTGGTATTTATTCATGGGCATAGTAATAATGAACAGAAGTTATTATATACTTCATAAAGTGTGCCATATACATATATATGTATATCTTTGTCTATCACAATAAAATGATAATATTTGATTTACAACTCTTTATCAACAAAAGTAGGAGTGTAGATTAAACATAAATAATAAATAGAAATCTATACAGAAAAAAAATAAACCCCAAATATATAATATTAAAAAAGAGTGTATGTAGAACATATGTATGATTTACATTACTTTTGGTAATCCATTATAATCATTTTTAGAGGAGGGATTTATTTATATAGTACTAGGTATATTATTACA